CGAAGAGATAGGCGTGCGCAGCAGCAGACACGTCGGGCCAGACAATTCCGCTGAGTCACTGGGCCACACCCCACTGGCTATATAAGCAAGGGGTGTGGCATGTGAATTTTCGTGACGGACAAAGTTTGATGAACACTCGGTTGCAAGCATTCTGGCAAGTTCTCGGGGCTTATCTTTGTTTGCTGTGGTTTATCATTAAGGACTTGGCAGGCAGCTACGAAGTGGCTGCCAAGACATTCCGTTGCCTTCGTCGGTGCCGAGTAGTTTGTCAGGCCTCGGCTGACTGGTTGGGGGGTGTGGGTCGGACGGGGGACAGAACACAAAAGTACAACATTAAAACATTGGCTCACCGATTGTATTGCTCCATGCTAATAAGCCCATGCCTACCTTATGTGTGTGTGTGTGTGTGTGTATACAAACACCACACACAAACACATTACAGACTTATTCTGCAAATCTACATTTAATTTGTATTGTAAACATTGTATTCTACAAACTTTATGTTTAGAGAGAAGATCCCCACCTCTTGTCACCTTTCCTCTTGGTTTTTATTTTCATATTTAATCTTAATTTTCAATTATGTTTCATTATGTTTTTATCATTTTGTAAGCCATCCAAAATCATTACAACAGGGAGATGGGTGGCATATACCGGTCGACGGATAAATTGTCTTCCATGAAAGTGGTCCCTGGTGCAAGAAAGGTTGGGCAGCGCTGCTATAAAAGATAAATATAATACTGAGGGGAAGCTTTGTTGACAGTGAAGTGCTGGATACCAGGAACAAGCTGTCCAGCCCTCACAACAGAACCATTCCTTCTTGTCCCTCCCTTATGTCAGGGCTTTTCAACCTTTTCACCCATTGTATCACTTTTAGGATATGGCAATATCCGAGTACCACCATTCGCCTAGCAAGGTGTCAAAAACATGATGACCCCCCCCCAAAAGGAAAAAGTGATAAAGTACAGGTAGTCCTCGACTTACAACAGTTTGCTTAGTGACTGTTTGAAGTTACAATGGCACTGAAAAAAGTGCCCCCCAAGCCACAGCCGAGCAAGGCACCTGCCTGCCCACCCGGCGGCGCTCTTCCTCCTATCCGAGGTTTTCATTGTTGTGAGCATTTCTGTTGAGGATTGGCAGCGGGGGTGGGGTGGGGGGTGTTTGGTTTTTATTCCCCCCGTCTGCTGGGTGGTTGCAGCAGGTTTTGGTCACTTCACATGACCCCGGGACACTGTGACCGTCATAAATATGAATCAGTTGCCAAGCATCTGAATGTAAATCACAAGACCCTGGAGATGCTGCAACATTCCAGCTGATCGGCGCTTATACTAGGCTCAGCAGAAGCACCAGGATCAGCGCCGAGCTCCAGCTGGAGCCTGGTGCTGATCTTGGCACTTCCGCTGAGCCCTGACAGCCCTGCAGCTCCAGCCGTCTCTCGCTCAGGCTTGTGCGGTGGTGCCACCGGTTCAGCTCATTCCCCTCCCCTGCTACCACTTTTCTAGGATGGTCGTGTACCACCGTCCAGGTGCCAATGTACCACAGGTGGTACCCGTACCACTGGTTGAAAAGCCCTGCCTTATGTTGCTAGAATCAGAATAATAATTTGGGGTTCCTAGTGGAACTGGGTTGTGCAAGAATAAATCAAAATGAAATCCAGACAGCTGTGAGGAAAGGAGATTTATTTTTCCCCCCAAAACAAAGAGATTTGCCTATGAGGGTAGCTACAGAGAAAATGGGGTACACAAGGGCTGTTTTATAGGAGAGTTTGTCCTGGGTATGGCTTGAGGAGTGTGGGTCTGTGTATGTGTTGATCCAGAGAAGGGCTTGATTAAATCAAATGATGTGGATTGTTGTCTCTTCATTTGAATTGTGTTATAATTATGTTTACATTGTGTTAATTGGGTTTTGTGTGTCTGCTTGTATGCGTTTACAATTTGAAATAAATGTCTAATTCATTCTTATGTTTGCTATAAACTTAAAGGATTTTACAGATTGTTAATCAATAACTTCATTGGAGACCTTGGTTAGTTAACACATGATTCCCTATACAACAGTGGTTCCCCAGCCTTTTCGGCTTGGTGGACTGGCAGGGGGGAGAAGGGATGGTCCTGTGCGAGCGGCAAATCCATTTGCGCAAGCAGCAGGCGCGTGTGCTCGCTACTCGCACAAGTGGAGCTGTGTACATGTGCATGCTCACCCCCTGCTTGCACAGCCCAGAGGATTGGCACTCCTGCTATACAATATTTCTAACCAGGGGTAGGCAACCTCGGCTCTTTTATGACTCGTGGACTTCAACTCCCAGAATTCCTGAGCCAGCATGGCTCATCTTGGAAACCTCTCCCTTTCCCCTCAGCATGGCTGACTCAGGAATTCTGGGAGTTGAAGTCCATGAGTCATAAAATAGCCGTGGTTGCCTACCCCTGTTTCTAAACCATAATTCTAACAATTATATAAATTTATAAATTCTTCCCACACTAGGAAACAGTATCCCGGTTCAAACACCAAGTGTCAGACCAGCTGGGGGTCATGCGGTCCTATCTGGGGGTGCTGGAGTCTTCCCTGGGCCAGGAGGCTGAGCGGGTGCAACAACAGGCCACCGAGGCCTTGCAAAACGAACGCAAGACCTTGACCCGCTACCTGGATCAGCTCAAGCAGATGGAGATGGTGCTGGGCAACGTGCAAGACGAACCCCAGACCGAGTTCCTGAGGGTGAGGCACCTCCATTGCCCTCGTTCTGATCTTTTTCGGTCTTGATGAAACTAAAAAACCAAGTCAAAGCTGATCATGCTTCTGCATTGTGTGCTCAACCTTATTGTAGGCATATGTGGTGTACAGGTGGTCCTCGACTTACAACCGTTCAAAATTACCACGGCGCTGGGAAAAAAGGCGACTTACGACCATTTTTCACACTTACAACCGTTGCAGCATCCCCATGGTCACGTGATCAAAATTCGGATGCTTGGCAACTGGCTCATATTTATGACCTTTGCTGTGTCCCAGGATCATGTGATCCCCTTTTACAACCTTCTGACAAGCTGAGTCAATGGGGAAGCTGGCTTCACTTAACAGCCATGTTACAAACTTGACAGTGATTCACTTAACAATCAGGGCAAGAAAGGTGATAAAATGGGGCAAAAGTCATTTGATAAATGTCTCACTTAAAAAAATTAGAAATTTTGGGCTCAATTGTGGCCGTAAATCGAGGACTACCTATATCTGTATTTCATTTTTTAATTTCCTAACCAGGCTGGTAGGAATCCTGGAAATCATAACCCGACAACTGGAGGGCTTCAATTGTTAAAATCTGCCCTGAGGGAAAACTACCTGAAATTTGCTAATTTCTAAGGTGACCAACCGTCCTCCTTTAGGGAGGACAGTCCTCCTTTTGTAAGTTCTGTCCTCTCTTGAAAGATGTCCTCCTACATGTCCTCCTTTTTGATATTTGAAGACTAATCTGTAAATCTCCGTATTCGATCGATGCCGATCCGATCCGTTCCGTGTGATGTGACGTATTTGTATTTGACATGACGATTCGTCAAGGCTCGGTACAGTGCGGTGAGACACGATTATGAGACGCATGCACTCCGCACAGGAGAATTGTTTTGAGAGAGTGCGCCACGCGCAAGAGTGCACTGCACACCAGTGGCTTTGTTTACTTCTTACTGAAACATGACACGGCACACACGCACGCATTAGACTCACTTTTTTTTCTTCAATTTATTTGTGTCCTTCTTCTCATTGAAAAAAGTTGGTCACCGTATAATTTCTGCTTTCTTTTTTCCTCCACAGAAATATTGTCTGGTTGCCAGCAGGTGAGTAACTGTCCATTTAAAACAACCCATCAGCCAATTCTCTTCTCTGAGTTGTGCACATCTTAAGTATCTCCAAAATGAGGGGTCCTTGGTGCTCTCTGAGCTTGGCTGGTTTCTTGTAGACGTTTCGTTACTCAAACTAGGTAACACCATCAGTGCTAATAGGAGGCGGGGTTTGCTCTCTCCGTTCTTTCTGCCTCTCCCTACTAGTACTGAAGATGTTACCCAGTTTGGTAATGAAACGTCTAAAAGAAAACAACCAAGCCCAGAGGGCACCAAGGACCCCTCACTTAAGTTCCTCCTTACCAGGACCACTTTCTTAGAGGATGAGAGGGACAAATGATGACACATATGTGACAATATGACACAACTGACGCTGCCTATGTACTTGCAACAGACATTAGGGTAGGTGTACACAATTTCATCCTTCGTGCAGCGACGACACGACGTCATTTTGACTTCAGTGTTACTTGTTGAAAGTGCTCTTAAGGCAACCTGTACTTCACTTGCATATTTAAAGGCCTTGAACACAGAGTTCCTGCATACAGGTAGTCCTCGACTTACAACAGTTCATTTAGTGGCCCTTCAAAGTTACAACAGCACTGAAAAAAGTGACTTACGACTGTTTTTCATACTTACGACCATTGCAGCATCCCCATGGTCACGTGATCAAAATCCAGAAGCTTGGCAACTGGTTCATATTTATGACGGTTGCTGTGTCCCAGGGTCACCTGATCACCTTTTGCGACCTTGTGACAAGCAAAGTCAATGGGGAAGCCGGATTCACTTAATAACTGGGTTACTAACTTATTAACTGCAGTGATTCATTCACTTAGCAACTGAGGCAAGGAAAGTCATAAAAGGGGCAAAACTTACTTAAAAAATGTCTCGCTTCACAACAGAAATTTTGGGCTCAATTGTGGTCATAAGTCGAGGACTACCGGTAGTCCTGAAACTACAGAAAGAAGCTTTACTAGAATCTCAACAATTAACTAGGTTTGTCTGTGTATGAGAGAAACAAGAGGACGATGTTCTGAATGAAGGACACCTTCCTTAGTTGCTGTTTACCAAAAACTCCAACGTTCCTTAATGTTAAGCTGCTAAATAAATGCAGAGAGTATGTTTTACTCTCCTTAATTTGAGAAATTATAATACAAATGCAAATTTATAACACAAATTATAATACAGAATTAGAGCACACATACAACATTATAACACAAATCAAACTCCCAGAGTTTGATTTGTATTGTAATTTTTTATTTGGCAATTTTATTTGGGCACTCCATCACCGGAAGGTTTTTAAGAAGAGACTGGACAGTCACTTGTCTGAAATGGTATAGGTTCTCCTGCTTGAGCAGGGAGCTGGACTAGAAGACCTCCAAGGCCCCTTCCAGCTCTATTCTATTCTAATTCATTATTTTGCGGTGACATGTGGCATTAGCTACTCAACCTTGTATATCTTCTTTTGGATATTCCATTCCATTTCCCACTTTCCCGTTCAGCTGTTGCTCCATTTCCCCGGAGCCCACTCAGTTTCCATCTATCTCTCCTTGATTCTATCTTCATCCTTTCCGATTTCACAGATTGTTCTCTAATTATTAATTGTACTACAGGTAGTCCTCGACTACCAACATTACTGTTGCTAAGTGAGAATTGTGAAGTGAATTCTGCCCCGTTTTACAACCATTCCTGCTACAGTTATTAAGTGAATCACTGCGGTTGTTAAGTTAGTAACGTAGCCAGCAGTGTGCTGCAGCTGCCAAAAAGGCCAACACAGTGCTAGGCTGCATTAACAGAGGGATAAAATCAAGATCATGTGAAGTATTAATACCACTTTACAATGCCTTGGTAAGGCCACACTTGAAATACTGCACCCAGTTTTGGTCACCACGATGTAAAAAAGATGTTGAGACTCTAGAAAGAGTAGAGAGAAGAGCAACAAAGATGATTAGGGGACTGGAGGCTAAAGCATATCAGGAAGGGCTGCTGGAATTGGGTATGTCTAGTTTAATGAAGAGAAGGACGAGGGGGGACATGATAGCAGTGTTCCAATATCTCAGGGGCTGCCCCAAAGAAGAGGGAGTCAAGCTATTCTCCAAAGCGCCTGAAGGCAGGACAAGAAGCAACGGGTGGAAACTGATCAAGGAGAGAAGCAACCTAGAACTAAGGAGAAACTTCCTGACAGTTAGAACAATTAACCAGTGGAACAACCTGCCTTCAGAAGCGGTGAATGCTTCAACACTGGAAGTTTTCAAGAAGAGACTGGACAGCCATTTGTCTGAAATGGTATAGGGTTTCCTGCCTGAGCAGGGGGTTGGACTAGATAACCTCCAAGTTCCCTTCCAACTTTATTATTGTTGTTGTTGTTGTTGTTGAAGTGAATTTGGCTTTCCCGTTGACCTTGCTTATCAGAGCATCACAAAAGAGGATTACGTGATTCCAGGACAACTGCAATCATCATAAGTATGAACTAGTTGACAAGTATCCAAATTTTGATCATGTCACCATGGGGGTGCTGTAACAGTTGTAAGTGTGAAAAACGTCATGTTTTTCAGTGCCATTTGAACAGTCACTAAATGAATGGTTGTAAACTGAGCACTACTTGTACAGCAAACCTTTAGTCTCTTTAGCTCGGCTGATATTTTGTAAAGAGGCTGTCCCATTTTTGCTCTGCAGGTAGCAGCACTTTGAGAACAATTTCTTTATGACCATCATCCAACTTTTCTTTCTTTTTTTAAAAATAAATTTTATTAAGTACAAAAGGAAAAAAGAAATTAAAAAACATTGAACGTAGTGGATCATCCTTGACATATATCTTTGTCTAATCATTCCATACTGTACATATAAGAATAAATCCAACTTTTCTGAACCTCATCCTGTTCTCTGCAGATCGTTGGATTAAAAGTGGCCACAATTTCCCCAACATGTGGGGCTTGTCTTCCAATATGTACTGGTGGGCACTTTGTTTGGGAACCTTGTTTTAATAAACAATTAACTATTGTTAAATGTTATCATTTTTAATAAGAGGGAAATGTAAAGAAAAGTAGGGGGAATCCTCATTCCCCCCCCCCAGGCTGTGATAAAGTGTCTTCTCCTTTCCTTCTCCCTATAGATTGCAGAAGATCCTGGGGGAATCTCCACCCGTGGCCCGCATGGACATTCAGCTCCCCATAATTTCTGATGAGTTTAAGTTTCAAGTATGGAGGAAGATGTTCCGTGCAATAATGCCAGGTAGAGACCACCACTTGCGGGATAAGGCTGCATGTGTCACGGTTCCGACAGATGAAACTCTTCAAAGAACTTGAAGGCATTGTTTACCTTAAGGAATCTTTATTCGAGCAGCATAGATAGCATCGGCACATACATAAGCGAAGCCAAAATCTGGATTCCCCTCCCCTTAGCACATAGGATCAACCACAATTCCCTCCTCTGATTAACAGTCATAAATCAAATTCTCCAATTAGTTTGAAATGTAGGCTTTCCCTCCTTTACTCCAACCCGCCATTTCTTATCATCTCTTATTTCAAAAGCCCTGAATTCATACACTATTACAATATTGTTATGTCTAACTAATTTCCATCACATTCTTCCTCCTCCTCCAGTATCATCTAATTCTAAGAGTAAAGCATAAGAAAGAAAAAGGCTGCATCTCCATAGGTTGTCAAAGCAAGAACATTCCAATGTTAGCAGCGTTGACAGCATGTGTGCATGTGTGTTTTAAAAGAAGTCGGCTCTTTTCCTCACCCAAGTCTATATATATTGCCATTACAGTAGAGGTTATTGCAGCCTGTCACATGACACAACATAAGGTAACACCTCCGCTCTGAGAACTAAAGAGAAGGTGGATTTTCTAAAGATAAGGTGTACAGGTAGTCCTTGATGTATACTCGCAACCGAGCCCAACATTTCTGTTGCTAAACAAGAGAGAGATTAAGTGAGTTTTGCCCCATTTTATGACCTTTCTTGTCATAGTTGTTAAGTGAATCACTGCAGTTGTTAAGCTAGTAATGTGGTTGTTAAGTGAATCTGGCTTCGTCCTTGACTCTGCTTGCCCGGAGTTCGCAAAAGGTGACCACACGACCCCGGAACACTGCAACCGTCATAAATACAAATCAGTTGTCAAACACTTGAATTTTGATCACGTGACTGCAGGGATACAGCAACAGTTGGGTGAAAAATAGTTATAAGTCACCTTTTTCAATGCCGTTGTAACTTCAAACGGTCACTAAATGCCCGGTTGTAAATCAAGGATTACCTACACTCAGTTTCTGTGCTACTCAACTCTGTCCTTTCTAAAATACTACTACTACTACTACTACTACTACTACTACTACTACTACTACTGCTACTAATAATAATGTTGGAAGGGACCTTGGAGGTCATCTAGGCCAGGGCTTTTCAATCTTTTCACCCATTGTACCACTTTTAGGATATGACAATATCCGAGTACCACCAGTCGCCTAGCAAAAACCTGATGACCAAAAAAAAGAAGAAGAAAAAAGTGTGAAGTACAGGTAGTCCTTGACTTACAATAGTTCGCTTAGTGACTGTTCGAAGTTACAATGGCACTGAAAAAAGTGCCCCCCAAGCCACAGCCGAGCAAGACACCTGCCTGCCTGCCCGGTGGCGCTCTTCCTCCTGTCCGAGGTTTTCATTGTTATGAGCATTTCTGTTGAGGATTGGCAGCGGGGGTGGGGTGGGGGGTGTTTGGTTTTTATTCCCCCCCATCTGCTGGGTGGTTGCAGCAGGTTTTGGTCACTTCACATGACCCTGGGACACTGTGACCATCATAAATATGAATCAGTTGCCAAGCATCTGAATATAAATCACAAGACCCTGGAGATGCTGCGACATTCTAGCTGGTCGGCGCCTCTTCTGGGCTCAGCAGAAGCACCAGGATCAGTGCTGCTTTTCAGCTGATTGGTGCTTCTTCAGGGCTCAGCAGAAGCACCAGGATCAGCGCCGAGCTCCAGCTGGAGCCTGGCGCTGATCCTGGCGCTTCCACTGAGCCCTGACAGTCCCGAAGAAGCGCTGATCCTGGTCCTTCCGCTGAGCCCTAACAGCCCTGCAGCTCCAGCCATCTCTCGCTCAGGCTTGTGCAGTTTTGCCACCAGTTCAGCTCATTCCCCTCCCCCACTATCACTTTTCTGGGATGGTTGCGTACCACCTGCCAGGTGCCAATGTATCACAGGTGATACCCATACCACTGGTTGAAAAGCCCTGATCTAGTCCAACCCCCTGCTCAGGCAGAAGACCCTATAGTATAGGGTTTCCTGCCTGAGCGGGGGTATTGGACTAGAAGACCTCCAAGGTCCCTTCCAACTCTGTTATTCTATTCTAAATATCTTTGCAAGTTAAGGAATGAATAATTCAGAACGAATAATTATGTTCACTCTTACGCTATTTCTTTTCTAAGTACAGAAAGCCTATCCACTGATTAAATCCTCTCCATGAAAGAAAAGAAAAGAAAAAAAATCCTTATTTTCACATTGTGACTAATCTTAACGTCTTTCTCTCCTCCTGAAGCTTTGGAAAACCTGACCTTGGACCCAGCCACCGCGCAAGCCAACCTAGTGGTGTCTGAAGATGGGAAAAGAGTGGAATGTGTTGAACATAAGCAAGCCATGAGCTCGGATGACCCACAACGGTTTGACAAGTCCAACTGCCTGGTGTCACGCCAGAGCTTCTCACAAGGAGAACACTACTGGGAGGTGACAGTAGATGACAAGCCCCGTTGGGCTCTAGGCCTCATCTCAGCTGAAACCGGGCGCAAGGGTCGCCTGCACGCCACCCCGTCCAATGGCTTCTGGCTGGTGGGTTGCAAGGAAGGGAAAACCTATGAGGCCTTTGTGGAGCACAAGGAACCCCGGTCTCTGAAGCTGGAGGGAAAGCCCAGCCGAATTGGGATCTACCTCAGCTTCGACGATGGCCTCCTGGCCTTCTACGATGCCAGTGACGAAGACAATCTGGTCCAGATCTTTGCTTTCCATGAGCGCTTTACAGGCACGGTCTACCCCTTCTTTGACGTCTGCTGGCACGACAAGGGCAAGAACAGCCAGCCTTTAATCCTCTACACCCCAGAGTCACAGGAGCGATAACTAACCATGAGCAGAAATGACCCGGTATCTTCTAGACCAGCCTTCTAGACCCGGGTTCCTCTTTATGTGCTGAGTCTGCATCGTGTAGCATCCTAAAATTCTAGACAATTATAATCCCAATAGCTCTGGAGAACACCAAATGAGCAAAGGCTGCTATAAATTCACTCATTACCAGCTCCTATCTATATTATCACCTGCCATGGTCTTCAGAGGAGCTGTTTCTTACCAAAGCTGCACATTGTACCCCTCTCCCCAATTATTGGTAATTTTAACTCCGTTGCACACAGACTCCTAAGTCATAGCCACATTCAGTTTGATTAAAGAAATGCCACTGTATCAGCACAGGTCTGCCATCTAAAACTTGGAATCTTGACAACTTTCTTGGTTTAGAAATAAAGGTTTATTATCCTTGTTATATCTTCGGTTCTTTAGGCATTGAATGAGGCAGAGTGTTGAAACAGCAACAAGTTTATTAACTCAGAACAGAAGCAGCCCTAAAGGCTACTGCACAGCTATTTATACAGGTAGCCTCTAGGTGGCAACCAATAGGTTTAAAGTAACAGTTTCCTGACGCTCAATTATTTTGGCCACCAAATGAGAAGAGAGAACTCATTGGAAAAGTTCCTGATGTTGGGAAAGATTGAAGGCAAAAGGAGAAGGGCCGGGAGAGGACGAGATGGGTAGATAGTGTCACTGATGCAATGAACATGAATTTGGAAAACTTGTAGGAGACAGTGGAGAATGGGGAGCCTGGCTTGCTATGGTCCATTGGCTCACAAAAAGTCAAGTACGACTTAGCAACACAACAACAACTCTGGGTAGTGCACAGTAACAAAAACAGATAATAAACTGAAAAGAAAACCTCCACATAATACTAAAACATACTGTACACACAATGAAAATATTGTGGGAAGTCAGCCCCCCAGAGAAGGAAATATTAAAAGGGCAGGAAAATATATTTCCTCAAAGGATCTTAAAGAGGCAGAAAAGCATGCCCAATTTTTCTTAATAGCCCCAGATCTCCCTCCCCCAAGCAGAAACCAGCTCTGTAGAAATGCAGATGTAAATAATCCATTCAGGAAGGTTGGCGGCCTCCAGCTAGAAGCTTAGGAAGACAAAGACACCTAAAATCTACATACCCCACCCAAAATCTAGGACAGGACATAATAGGATTAACACACAGATACCAAAGGGCACACTCAGACTCAGGTCAAAGTTAATGCCACAGGAACAACGCCACAAAGAAAAGGCTCCAGAGGGTATAAAAACCCACTCCCTACATGTGTTCGCTCTCTTTTCTGCCAGAGCCATCTTTCTGTCTGGCTCTCCTCTTCAATAAACTGCAACCTTCTTTCTAAAGCAGTCGCCATGTTGTTTGTCCCCGGCTTGGACTGAACCATGATGAAAGCGTTTCTTTCAACAATTGGATATACAGAAAAATAATGACTACCAAGCACCATAATAACAGCAATGAAGGGGGGGGGGTTTCCACTCAACACCAATATGTAGATTAGTTTTCAAGCAGGAACTCTGATATTTAAAGAAGCAGTATTCCTCAATGCAAGTCGGAGAATGCACCACGTGGTATAGTCCTCCAGTAGAAACCCTCCCCACATTTGAAGAAAAATATATATTTTTCCCATTCTGCAAGAATCATTTGCTCACACGCTATCCTGTTGTTGTTGTTTTTAATTCTCTGCTGACTTTGCCTATGCTATTTTCTCCATCAAATATTTATTTTTGAGCATCTCCTCTTTATAGTTCCTCTTTGAACCTCTGGACATAGACAAATGTAACTTCTGTTTTTGTGTTTCTAGTCCAGAGCCCTAGTCCTAGTCCAGAGGCTATTTAAAAACGATAAGCACATAAGTCACAATTCACAACTCACAAAAAAAATAGGACAAATTCCCTATTGTATTCACACTCACAACTACAATCTTCTGTTCAGGAAGTGTGTAATACCAATCATTTTAGCACTGGTCGAATATTAAAGTGAATTATCCTGCATTACTCTGTTCTTTACAGTATCTTATCTAAACTTAAAATGTGGAAAGATATAACCCATACAGTATACAATAATAGTTAGAAAGCAAAATATTTTGACTTCCTATGAAAGGCTAGATATAGCACTTCTCCAGTTTTGGAATAAGTCTGTAGTAAGCAAAACTTAATTTCCTTTTTTGGCTATTGCACGGGAGAATGCATTAGCACGTTCCACTTTCAGAAATAGTGTAATTCTGACAGGCTGGAGAGATAGCACCGCTTTGCTGTCATT